TTTTTTTGTGGGTAATAGTATGGTTAATTTATTTTGATAATATACTTTAGAACAAAAATAATTTTTGTCGAAATCTAAATCACAAAAATCCATATTTTCGACTAAAATAAACAACCTACTAATTTCATTACAAAACAGTCTCAAATTTTTTGAAAATAATTATTGAATAAAATTTATTCAATAATTATTTAATTATTAAACATTTAATGTTTATCCAACAAAAAATTTTTTTTAGGTTCCCGTATTTCTGCAGATATATAATATAACTAGACAATCGTCTTTGATATTATCACCGTTATGTCATTGAAACAGATCGCCATATAAAAGTAAACAATTCGATAAACTAACGTTTATGTTTTATTATATATCTGTGCGTTTTTCCGAAAAAAATACATAGACTAATACATAATTATTATTATTAAAATATTTTATCTATATTGAAAAACAAGAAATTAATATCTTTTATTTTTATAAATGCTTAAAATGTTTTGGATAAATAAAAAATGGAGATATATCTTCATTTTTATATTATAAATACAATTTATAATTAATATTATAATTTATAATTCATTATGAATATAATGAACATAATTAAGTAATATGTTTTTTATGTAAAAAATTAATAATATTATTATATTCAAATACATTTTAAAAACTGACCTTTTCAACTTTAAAGTTGTCACTATCAGAGTCGGTTTACCGATGGGGTGTCCATTGGTTCTGGACCCCCCACCCCAAGAGCTGTTGCCTGCATTAATTATTGTGCACAATGCATAGATCTGGACTCTTGTTATTTTAAATGAAATATTTTCAACCTATTTTTAATTTTTTTACAGCTATATTTTATAGTGTTGATAAAATAGTCTACCTTAAATGTGATACTCGGAAATCGAATATGTTGCGATTATACATTTATTTTTAAATTACTTTCCTCTCAGGGGGGCGATTATTACACTATTTCATTAATTGACTCACAACATTTAACATAAACGTTACTTTTACAATAAAATTATAAGAAAATTTATTATGTAAGTATTAACTACTAAGCAATATTGAAATATATATAGTAATAATGAAAATGTAGAAAAAACGACATATTTTTACTCAACATCATTAGACATTTTTTGGACCCCCCAGAAAAAAGTTCAAAATCCGCCACTGATCACTAGACATTTAGGCCGTAGATATTCATTGTATATCATGTGTTTAAAGATAGGAATAATAGTATTTTCTTTGATTTTTAATACTCCAATTTCCCTTCAATACTATAGAAAATTTCTTAAATAAACTTTTTTTAAATACTCTATCGCCTTTTCCACAAAATTATCATTTTTCGATGTTAACATTTATTTAACAACGTTGCCGATGTAATAAATGAAAAAAGGAAAATTTTAAATATGAAACCTTTCTTTATTTTTTTTGATTAACAACCTTGACATTTAAGGTTTTTTGTTCATTTATAATAGCTGACAGCCTTAAATTATCAAGGCAATGTATTGTAACAGCTTTAATTAAGTTTTCCTATTTGTTTTTTTTAAATAAAAGAATAAGCTCATACACAAATCGTTAAACCATCGACAATAGAAAATTTTATAACATATTACATTAAAACGTAAGCAATTATTCATGTTGTAAATATAATAACGTTAACATCTGTTAAAGCCGTTTTATTTTTTGATATTTTGTTTCTGAATATGAACAAACACCTACGTTTACAAATGATGCACTTTTTATAAAAATACATTTAACTAGAAAACTTTAGTGTAAAAACATAAATTTATATCTGCTATATTACCTATCTTCAAAAAAATGACGTCACTTATTTTATATTTCTGGCATAAATTAAAAATACTAAGTTGTAAGCTGAAAAGTATTGTAATTTTAGCTATAATATTTTCTGCTAGAACTCCTTACGATAAATTAAATAGTTTAGAATTTTTTATTTTAATTAATCTCTTCTGTAAAAATGATTTTTTCTCGAATGTCACTATGCTTACCGGCAATATAGGCATTATTAAGTCTAAAATATGTAGACTACTTTATTAGGAATGTGCTTTAATCAATAAAAATGAGCCAATTTTGAGACACGGGCATTGTAGCTCTTTTGATTAAATTGATAATTATAACTATAAATATATGTTTATTATTTCTCTCTAGATAAAAACTTGTCGATAAAAGGACATATAAAGAATTTTTTTCCATATTTTTACAAATCAATTTTTTTTTTTTGCTAATCGCATACTTTTATTAGCGCTTAAGTCATATGTTATTAATGGTAGTAATTGTCAATGGGGAAACTACAGCTCTTTGCCCCCTTAAGCCCCGTCACTGGTTTATAGTAACATAATATTTTTCCAGGGCCAGAAAAAATTTGAACTAATCGAGATTTTATACTTTTACCAACCAATTAACAGGTATAAATCGATAAAATTGTACCATAGAAATATGAATTACAAACTGATTACAATACTAATAAAAGGTAAGGTTTTTTTGAGAATATTGCATTGGCTATGCATAATTTGTAATGCCAGTGGATTTTTATTTTTAATGACTTGTTGTTTCAATTGTTATTGACATTTAAACTGTGTATCGTCTAAGAATTATTTTATACTATCTAATGCAACAGAATGGGTATTAAACGACAATATTCAATTTGTTTAATTTTCAAATTTATATTATTACTTATATAATCAGTGACTTACACACAGGGTGATTTTCATGTTCTAACCCCCCTCCCCAGAGACAAACTTTTTTTTTTAATATTTCATGATTGATTCTTACACATTTGAATCTAAATGTTCAAACATGATAATTTAATATTATTAAGTTTTATTATATCATAACATTCATATAAATAATGATTTATTAATAATATTGGTCCCTATATTATTGTTCAAAAATGATTTTTTTTTTTTCATAAAAATTTACTAATAACAATTTTATTTATGTTTATAAACCATAATAAATATCAAGTTTGTTGCAAGAAAAATGTTTTTCTAAAAATAGATTTTAGGGGTAACTTTTAAATTTAAATGAGAACTTATTATTTTTTTTTTTTACTATCAATTAGCAAAAGAATTAAATAAAATATTGACTGTGTTTTGTGTATTTTTTTATATCTTTCAGATCAAATTTAAATGTACTCAAATGCATACAATATACGATTTATAATTAATGATTTCTTAGAAAAAAATTGATTAAATAATTAATCTAGATTAGCCTATTATTTTATATTAGATACAATTGAAGAATCAAGTTAATTTATCTTTAGATAATTTTTTTAAGATAATGTCCAACTCTGACTATTATAAACCAAAAAATAAATAAGATATATATTATTAAACATGATCACTTTTTTTAATAAGATTTAAATTTAAACACAATAAATGTTACTAGAAGGTTAATATAATTACAAAATCAACTTATATCCTAAAATTGCATTTTGAATTTTTACATAGAACTATGATAATTAACAAAAACNCAATGTATATCCTAAAATTGCATTTTGAATTTTTACATAGAACTATGATAATTAACAAAAACCAAAAAAATATCAAAATAGTTATTATTTTAATTGATATCAAATGACGGAGGATAAAATAATGGTTATATTTACATTGTTACAAACAATGTGTAGTTCGTATCTTCTGAACAATTCCCAAGTTAGGTTTGACTCCTGTTTTCTTTGACCAAAATGATTTATGCCGCATCATAGAGTATCAAATACAAAGTGATCCGCAAATTGTATCTCACACAATAGTTTCAAATGTATAAAATTAATATAGTTTTTATAATCCTGTCCACTTTAATTTGTACAAAAATATAGTTCTCTCCCCTCTTCTTTCCTCTTAAAATATTATCAACTCTAGCTGACAAATAAATAAGGAAATAATCTAATTAAGAATTTAGCTTAAATGTAAATACTTTTGAATTAGTATTTCGAAAGTTATACTGGTACAAAAACACATCAAAATAAAGGATAGCAATGAAAGCGGGTCTTTGAATTATTATCACCGAGTCTTTCTGTGCTTATCCCGTCACGATTTGAAAAATACTTATATTTTTTAAAATAATGACTCAAAACTTGTTATCGACCAGTCATTTTCTTAGTTAAATTATGTTCTACTTTTTAAGGTAGTTTAAATATAAACACTTCATAGAAAAATTAATACCTTCTCAGCTTGGAATCGCAGCTAAAAACTTAAGTTGATACAATGTCAAAGGGTAAAAAAGGGGATAGAACTTTATTTTTTATGTTAATTAATGTGGGTAGAATGGATAGTAATAACTTCCGAAAAGAAAAAAATCTAGGATAAAAGCACCCCGACTATGGTCAAAAGTATGTCTTGTAATGATTTATAGTGAACCATTTACATGCATAATGCTGCAAAAATAATATTATTTTTTTGTGATAATAAAAAAATAAACTATTTATGACTCAAGTAGTTTATAGAACTTAAGCAATACAATGACCATTGGTATAGTTAAGGTGTCTAAAAAGGGTGAATCTATCCTATTTTATCTTTACTATTGTAGGTATAGCGAGAGATATAGTTAGCAGTATGTAACTATGCAGTACCTCTGTATTGTACTTTCCTCAGAACGTCATCGAATGCTATAATGGAAATAACTAGCGTTATATTTATTTTATTTAATTAATACTCAATTAAAATTATTATTGTCTAAATTTTTAATTACGAATAATAACTTAACCTATATTAAATATATATACACGATTACAGAATAATATTTCTAAATAGTAATAGTATAAATGTTCTGTTAAATTTGTAATAGAAAAACATAAAGCATTCATTTGTAGGTAGTCCATAATTTGCTACTTAATACAAACAAAATATTTTCCGTATAAACTTAGCTGAACACAATATTGATACAAATCGGTAATTTTTATTACACTCATTATGTTTAGGCATTTTGTTTAGGTGACGTTAATCATTATCGAGTTAAATTACAAATGGTTCCGCACAAAAACACTTGTTCAATAAATGGTAAAACAATGATGTCAACATACAAAAGATCACACTACATTTGGTAGAGTTTATATAAAGGTCACATGATAATTCAGCACATGAACTTCAACTTTAATTTATTATTGCAAATTTTTTTTTAGTATAACTTGTGCTATAGGTACGATGGCGTTGTTATTTCATATATGCGGACTTTATCACAGCAATGGCAGTAAACTTTTTATTGGTCTATTTCTGTTGCTAGCTATATTTAGCAAACAGGTATGCTTTTTATTTTATAAACAAATAATAATTAATTGATAAAAATTTAGTATAATTGATAATATAATATAACTAATTATTTTAGCTAATGCTGTTCATTGGTAAACCATTGTATTTTCATTATTTAAATGTTAAATATACAAAAAATAATAATCACATTCGACAAATTTCCTTTTGAAATTTTATTTCCATACACTATCGATTTGTAGGAAAGTAAATTGAAGTTCTTCATTAATTCAAACATCTAAATAGATCTTTAGAACTCCAATTGAAAAATTCTTAGTAATGAAAAATTGCTTTCTATGTATAGCTTAACGTGTCAGGAGAAGATTATCCTCAAAACCCGAACAACTTTAGGGCAAATTCGAGTACATTCAATCCAACGGATCAATCTAATATGCAATATCAACCTTCGTATGGTAATTTAAATGATCAGCAATTATTTCAACAACCATCAGACCAAACATTGGATGGTAGTCAGAGGATTCCAAATAATTTACCCAATCAACAAAATATGTACCAAAATCAACCACAACCAATGATGACTAACAATGGTATATTACCATTAGGAAGTCAATCACCGCAACGATTTCAACAACAGCAATATCCTATAAATTCAGTTAATAATAACGAATCACCATCAATGTTGGGACAGCCACAACAAATGCAGAAACAACAATATCCTGAAAATTCATTTAATAATAACGAACAGCCATTTACTAATGGTCAGCAACAGAAATTTCAGCAACAACAGCCACCCCAACAACAATATCCTACTAATTCAGTTAATAATAACGGACAGCCATCGACGATTGGTCAACAACAGAAAGTGCAATATCCAGCAAACTCAATTAATAATAATGGAGAACCATCGTTGATGGGTCAGCAAAAACCCCCTCAACGATTACAACAACAACAACAGAATCCAGCGAATTCGCTTAACAATAATGATCCGGCATCAATGATAGGCCAAGTAATGCCACAGCAACAATTGCAACAAATACCGCAACAATTGCAGCAAATACCACAACAATTGCAGCAAATACCGCAACAATTGCAGCAAATACCGCAACAATTACAACAAATACCACAACAATTGCAGCAAATACCGCAACGACTGCAGCAAATACCACAACAACTATTACAACAAGCACAACCTAATACAACATTGAGTCCGAATCCATCCGCGTTACCGACAAACGCAAATCAACCACAGAAAAACAAATTCAACGGAGAACCACAACAACTAACTTCTAATGTCCAAAATCAGCCACTAACCTCACAAGGTAATCAACAACCAGCATTAACATCTAATAACAACAATATGGATTTAATGTCTACTCCGCAAAAATTATTGGGTAATACTATGGGCTCATTAACACCACAATTCACGTCTCAACAACAGCCATCAGAGGTTATTAACCCATTAAAAAACAATGGAATGAAAAATCAACAACAAATTATGCAACAATTACAAAAACAGCGACCACAACTCCAACAGCAGCTACCAATCAATTCAAATCAACAGAACGTTCAAGATTTTCAGCAATTTGATCAAATGGGTAATGAAATACAACAATTAACAGGTAGACCTACACAACTCGAAAACAATTACAATAATAATGAAAAAATTAACGCTTACGTAAATAAAAATAAACCTACAGTGGGCATTTATAAAGGTTTTCGTTTTCAAAAATTATGTTCTAAACCAACAGGATCAACAATTGATAATGGCAGTAAGTTAAATTCAGCAAACATGATGCAACAACCTACAAATATGATACAACAACCAATGAACATGATGCAACAAGATGGAGGAAAAGCAATGAGATTTCCCATGCAGGTAGGCCGTGAATTTGGATCAGTTTTATTGAATGGAGCACAAAGTTTAATGAATGCTAAACACGCAGCCGTAAATACTTTACTTAGACCATTTGTTGCACTACCGTCAATAAGTAGTTCTATAATGCAAATGGAACAAAATGGATTAAACAGGTTATCTAACAATTTACTAGGATCACAAGGGCAGTCTGTCGGGACAGACAATGGCTACAATGTCGGCGTCAATCCTAATCCTTCGGGTACATACAGTAACTATCAGCAAGATACAGACTCTAATTTACAATATCCACAACAAATGAGTCAGCAGAATTTACAGCAACCAACTCAACAATACCCACAACAAGGCAATCAATTATATCAACCACAAACTAATCAACCGTATCAACAACAAATGACTCAACCATATCAACAAGAACCTACTCAACCGTATCGACAACAAACCTCCCCACAGTATCAACAAGAACCTACTCAACCGTATCGACAACCAACCTCCCAACAGTATCAACAATATCAACAAAAAAACCCTCAACAATACCAACAATATCCGCAGCAGGCCAATCAATACTATCCAGAACAATCCACAAACAGAAACACACAATTAAGAAGACAAAATTCCATTAATTCACCACAACCGATACGTACGTACTCATATCAAAATGCACCTGTAGTAGCTTATTAATGTAAATTATTTCGCTAAAATAGTTATTTTTTAAGTGTTAATATTATGGTTTTTATTTGGTATAAGTAATAAATTATAAACAATGTCAATCATTTAGTAACATTTATTATGTGTCTGGTGTATATATCTTTTTGCTGTTTTTGGTATGTGGAAATACTATATCAAAATTAAAATATAACTTTGAATACTATCAATAAAATAAAGCCGAATACAAATTTTAAATGAATGTTTCATAATTGTTTTCACTCAAATTATCCTATTAAGCGACTAAGCCCTCTCTAGACCTACAAATTGCGCCTTTAAATCTATGAGGTCAAAAAATATCTAATTTATTTTCGAAGCTTCAGATTCAATGATAGCTTAATCAATATTACTTTTATGGAGCCACATTTTTGAACTCCAATTGATTTTTACAATATCAATAGCAATTTAATAAATAGTTACTTTTAAAGATGTTTACAACGTGTTGATAATTTGAACAAAACCTTTTTAGTTTTCATGTTTATAATCTAAACTAAATATAATGAAATTTTCTTTACTCGAATATTATTTTTTAAAAATCATAAAAGAGATAATTATATTTTAATTTTATAAAAATTATATTTAACGTGTATATGATAGTGATGATAATGTAAAAAAAAGGTGGAAAGTGTATTTTGAAAAATTACTGAATGAGGATTTGAGACATTAGAAAATGAGGGACTGGTAGATTTAATCAGTGAGAAAGAGGTATGGGAGGCTGTGATATCAATGAAAAAGAATAAAGCAGTGGACCAGATGAAGTGCCAGAGGAAGTCTGGAAAATATTAGGCGATGTTGGCATAAGGTGTTTGAAGGATTTTTTTAATAGTCTTATTAGAAAGGAAAATACCAAAAAAATGGAGGAATAGTATTGTGGTACCGATATTTAACGGTAAAGAAGACATACAGGATTGTGGAAAGTATAGAGGCATAAAACTTACGAGTCATAGTTTAAAAATTTGGGAAGAGGTAATAGATAAGAGAACAAGATATGTAAAATCGGTATCTAAAAACCAGTTTGGATTTATACTTGGTAGATCAACAATGGAGTCATTAATTTGTGTGAAGCAACTAATAGAAAAGTTTAGGAAAAAAAGAAAAAGCTGAGTATGGTATTTATAGATTTGGAGAAAGCGTATGATAGAGTAACGAGAGAGGTTCTAAAGTGGGCATTAATGAGAAAAGGATTCCCGAAAAGGTACATTAATATAACAGAAGATATGTATGATGACACTTGTACTAGGATAAAAAGTGTGGTAGAAGTAACAGAAGCTTTTAGGGTAAGAGTAGGAGTGCGCCAAAGTTCTGCTTAAAGCACTTACTTATTTTCTATAGTGATAGATGAAATTACTATAGAGAAATACGAGGAGAGGTGCTGTGGTGCATGTTCGCTGACGATATAGTATTAATAGGAGAAAATAGAGAGGAAGTTAATCAAAGGTTAAAAGTGTGGAGATCAGCTCTTGAAGAAAAGGGTTTAAGAATAATTAGGATAAATACAGAGTATATAGAGTATGAGTTTGACAAAAGAGAACAGTATGTAGGTGAAATTAAATTAGTGATAATAAGCAAAGACATGATAGAAGACCTTATGACCATATAATACCTCATTTTCTTAAAGACATACTGAAAGGCTCTGAGAGCCCCAGCTAGACCGATCTTAGTTAAATTATATTTAAAAAGAAAAATAATTGGCCGAAACCAAGTAGTTGGGTTTAAGACGAAGAAAAAGAAGAAAAGAATAATTATTATTTTATTAATAGAAAACAAAAAGTTTCTAACTATCACAAAATATATTTTCTATCAATCAGTTTTTAATGTTTGTTGTTTTATTTGATAAAAAACATCATTTTCTCTTTGCAATTTTTTTTTTGCTTTATTTTTCTCCATTTTTCTTCTTTTTTTTAAAGCTAACCGTTCTTTTTCAATTTTCTCTTTGTTTTCTATAGCCATTTTAAACTTGCTGACTTGTTTATCTACAAGTAATAAGAGTTAATCAGAGTAATTAAATTAAATAAAAACACAAAAAATAAATTTTTATTAAGTAACTTACTTATTTCATCCACTTTAAATGGTATTGGAGTAGGTCGAAACATGCAAGGTGCAACTTTAAAATATTCATGAATAGGGCAAATAACTTCTTTATCTATTTGAATCCAAGTTAAGGAGTTAGATACTTCAGCCTGTTGTAATACCAAATACATGTTAAGTAAATTGAAACCACCATAACTAAAAAAAATTAATTTAATTTAAAGTAGTTTCAGTTTAACGATACAATTAATTATTTTTTTATGGTATTTATATCCTTTGAATATTAAACACCTCATATAAGACAACATATTCATACTTCCTTTCCAAAAAGTAATAATTCAATATTTTTTTTATTTAATAAAAAAAATAAAACATTTACAATTAGTTGAAAACAAACAAATAAAAATTTTAATTAAAAACAAATTTAGTTGCATTTTTTTTCCTAGAAGATGTTAATATGGTGAAAAAGTAATATTATTTTGAACTATATTACATACTTGAGTAGAATACTTTTTGAATACCGCTAGATATATTTTAAATCATTTGATCAAATCTAAAATCAAGAATCGGAAGCAACCTGGTGTCTGCCTAAATATTGTCCCTATGTCCTTAAATGAGTTTTAATTATTTGTAGGAGACATATACAATAGCGTACTTTAGTTACTAATAAGAGATTATAAAGGTTGTTATGAATATTAATATGTTTTATGAAAAAAAAAGTAAATGAAAATAAAACATGTATAATATAAGTGGTAATAAATGTTCTTACATAAAAGGGGTCAAATTTCATTTCTCAAATGACAATGCCTCTAATTAACTAGCATATTCAATATATAATTATTTAATTAAGAAAATAACAGATCTATAACAATTTTTCGACCAGTATTTCGAATGTTATAAAAAATTTAAAGTAACGACTGGAGGTGAAGAGTGAGTGCTACTATATTAAAAATCAGATATTTCACGGGCGTACTCTTACCTCAATATAAATATGTAGTTTATAATAAGTGAAATACCCTGTATAGTTTTATTTATGTTTTAATTATTTTTATTAGTATAAATAAAATAATTAAATCTTTAGATATTACATTTATTTATATCAATAAATTAAAATTAAATATATATATATATATATATAATATAAATAAAAATAAATATTATTTATACTTTTATAAATAAATAATAATAGTAAGTAATAAATTTATAATTTATAATATAATATTGCCTAGTATTTTTGAAAATTAAAATAATGTTATTTAAAATGCATTAAATAATTTAATTTTAAATAATATTAATTGAGTGTAAAAAAATATAAAAATCACAATAGATGCAAATTTTACACGATACTTTCATAATGTCCAATCAAAAATTTACATTAGTTATTTCAGTTATAAATTAGTAATAAATTAAATTAATTTCAATTGAAAATAAAATTTTTAGGTGCATTTTTTTTATTTTATTCCAATATAAACATAATATTCTATCAGTTGAATGACTCTGAAAAAAGTTTCACTTCATCCGCGTATACTCATAATACACACTGGTTTTTTTTAATAAAATAAAATATATTACTAAGTTCAAAAGAAACCTAGTTTTTATGTTATTAGCTTCGATGCGAAGCTGAGAAGGTATTAATTTTACTATGATGTGTTTTTTTATTTTTTTTTTTATGTCTGTTGCCACTTTTTCTCAGCTCTCGCTGGCCCAATTTCTTTCAACAATACGTCAAAAGATCACAAATCGTATCTAGTTGAAGACATTACCCTCAAAAATTGAAAAAAAATCCCTCGTTCCCCGCAAATGGGGGAAATATCCAAAAAAATTACAAATTTAAAAATCGGTAAATTTTGTCATTTTTTTTTCTTAAAACTTCCATAACTTTTTGAAAAATCAACAAATCAACATAATTTTTTTTTATACTAAAACCTTAGATATTTCCCTTTCATTTGATATCATTTTTTTGAAAATCTAACACTTAACCTGCTCATTGGAAGGGATTTAAAATAGCAACTTTTTTACAAAAACTAACTTTTTCAACTTAATTTTTGAAAATGTTCCGGAAATACTGCGTCCTTTAAACATATATCAAATTAAAGCTTATTTTATGTACTATAAAAAAAAAAAAAATTTGTCCCGACATCTTATTTACTATGTGCAAATGGCTCTCGAAATTTTAAAAAAAAATGTAATATTTGCGATAAAAATCACCTTCTATAAGGATGTTTTTTGTACTTAAAACTGTCATAACTTTTTCAAATATTAATAAATCAACATAATATTTTTTTATATTGAAACCTTAGGTAAATGAAAAAAAAAAATTTGTCCCAACGACCTATTTTCTATACGCAAATGGCTACCGTATTCAAAAATATGCTATTTTAACAAATTTTTTTTTTTTAATTTAACACTATCTACAGATTTGCATTGAAGCGTTTCTTATGATAGTGATTTTAATCACTGTCAGATTAAATCTATACTGGACCCAACTATGCAATGTCTCCACTATGCCGCGACCCCACTGTGCTACCGTTTTTTTTNGTCTCCACTATGCCGCCACCCCACTGTGCTACCGTTTTTTTAGATGTAATTAATATATTAACAAGTAGAAAATTCTTACTATATATAAATAACTCATTTATTAAAAAGATAATTTATAACAAAAAATAAAATACAGCTTTTAAGTAATTAGAATAAAAAAACTATTTTTAACTATTTTTTTTTTTACTAATAATAAAAAAACAATTTATACTCACGGTGATAATTGATATATTTCAATGAAAAATGGTTTTTTAGGATTATGTAACAAAACATACTCTCCTACATCTAATTGTTTAAGTTTTTCAAAAGTCCACACAAGTCTTTGTAATAAGGTATGTTTAATCTCATCTAATTTAATTGAAATAGTATCAGCTGTTTTTTCTTTCAACATCATCAAATCCATGTTATACTGTACGGAAACTAAAATTTTTCGTAATGTTATAAAAATTATATTATTTGTTAAAAATAATAACTACAAGTTTATCAAACTGAAAATAAAAAACTAATATGAGACTTATTTAACTGTAATGGTTTGGTGATGGCATAGTCTTTCAGTTTTAGATTAAATTAATTTCAACAAGTTAATTATAAATTACCAAGAGTTGCTTTGCTTTTTGGCGTTCTAAAATATGTATCTGTCCAATATTCAGCTAGATCTTCATTACTAATTTTTTCAAAACCAAATTCTGGTTGATATTCTACTTTAGGAATTAATATTTTTTCATTACGTTCATTGGTTACATTATTTACTACCTGCCATTAAAAAAATATCTGATGATTATTGTTTAAATATAAATTAAATTTTAAAGATTAACTCAATTTTACAACTATTAACAGTAGTACAGTTAAAAATTTTGTATGAGATGTCAAGATAACTTTTGAACTATTATGATTTTGTCAATGGGAGGTCTGAACCCAAAGATTCCCTGGTTGCGCTACTGATTATCAAGACACTTATATAATTTAATGGATTAAATAGTTTTCAAATTTAACTGTTTATTTACTTGGATGTGAGGTTTGTTTCGAATGAGCACATTGTATGTATGATTTAAACTGCCATTACTTGCTGCTAATAACCATTTGTCATAGTTGTAGTCACATTTATCAATAACATTTTCAGTATTTGATATATTAGATTTGCTAAAACAAATTCAACTCGGTCATAACAATATAACACTAGCCTCTGCTAAAAAAAATTGTGAAAATATCAATATTTTAAAAGTTTACCTTTTTCTAAATATCTTTTTTATTTCTTTTCTTAAATAAAAGCTAAGTTTATCATGATGAGAAAAATGGCCAGTTGACAAAGCACCTCCAATAAACAACTTTTTTTGATTATCTAAAAAGTATAAAGTAAACGAAAAAAACAAAATTAATTAAAAAAATATTTTAAATAAAAATGAAAATTTACCATTTTTCGTAATATTTAAAGGTAATAGCCATAAACTATTAGGTTTTTCTAGATTCATTATACTTTTAAGGCTACTTAAACAAATGTTAATTTCAGTAGAATGTTTTTCTGATAGATCACAACAGACTTCATCTTTAATAACTAAACAGAGTAATTACTTCATACATTCTTCTAGTTATACAAAATGATTAATTACACTTGTATTATATAAACACAAATACACAGAAACTAATATTACATAAATAAAATAGATACAAAAAGTTTGAACTAAACAATCTACTTATAAGTAAAAAATAAATATTATAAAAAAATTTGATATAGAACAGTTAATAAGTTATATTTTTAATTCTTCGACTATGAATGCATAGGTATTTCCATATGGGTGACTGAAATTCATCTGGGCTGTATCTCAATTAATAAAATCAGAATGCAATAAAAAAAAGGACTTATATGGGATTATTTTAGAGCCACAAAATAATATTTTTTTTAAGTGTTTTTCTCATAAATGCTAAAGATGCTATGGTATTATATTTTACCACACTACATATCAAGAGTAGCCAACTATATTACTTTAAGTTTGAAAATAAAAATGTTTATATTGTTCAGTCAATAATTTTTTGAAAACTTAATATATATGTACATTCAACAAATTTTCTTGGTAAAATATTTTTTTAATTCACTTACAAGGAACTTTGTTAGGTGTAGAATAATTACCATTCTTGAAAGATATTTTTGAATCAAAATTTGTGATATCAATATTAGGTATATCAGCTGAGGTATACTTTGAGTCCTAAAAATAATTATATTTATTATAAAAATCATAGGTTAACTACAAATAATGTTTGATCAGCTGCAAATCATACAATATCTCTGAAGGATAAAAAAAATATTTTCTGAGAGGAATTTAAAAGATTAAGAATATTGCTTTTAGGGAAAAAATTAGCTGTACTCTTCCTGTAACTAATTGAAATGTACTTATTAGAACAAAAAATAACTTATCAAACAAGAAACATATACATTATTAAGCTATTCTAATATATATTTTAAAATTAAATATAGTTGGTTATGATAAAAAAAATTACTCAATATAATTAATTTTTATATATGCTTAATAAAAATGTGTTAGGGTCTAAGTTTTTTAACATTATATTATATTATATTTTATAAGAATAGAATTAATGTAAGTTTTAACTAAAAAACATTCAGTAAATATAATAAATGTATTTAAAAAAGAAATTGATTTATTTTATAATTATTTAAAAATAGATAAATCATTTTCTATTTTAAAACAGCACAGTGGGGTCGTGGCATAGATGGGTCCAGTATAGATGATTTCTGACAGTGATTAAATTCACTATCATAAAAAACGCTTTGATGCAAATCTGTAGATAGTGTTAAATTAAAAAAAAAAAATTTGTTAAAATAGCATATTTTTGAATATGGTAGCCATTTAAATGTAGAAGGAAAAGTGTCGGGACAAATTTTTTTTTTTTCATTTTATAGTACATAGAATAAGCTTTAATTTTATATATGTTTAAAGGACGCAGTATTTCCGGAACATTTTCAAAAATTAAGTTGAATAAGTTAGTTTTTGTAAAAAATTTGCTATTTTAAATCCCTTCCAATGAGCAGGTTAAGTGTTAGATTTTCAAAAAAATGATATCAAATGAAAGGGAAATATCTAAGGTTTCAATATAAAAAAAAATTATGTTGATTTGTTGATTTTTCAAAAAGTTATGGAAGTTTTAAGAAAAAAAAGTGACAAAATTTACCGATTTTTAAATTTGTAATTTTTTTGGATATTTCCCCCATTTGCGGGGAACGAGGGATTTTTTTTCAATTTTTGAGGGTAATGTCTTCAACTAGATACGATTTGTGATCTTTTGACGTATTGTTGAAAGAAATTGGGCCAGCGAGAGCTGAGAAAAAGTGGCAACAGACTTAAAAAAAAAAATTAAAAAAAAACACATCATAGTAAAATTAATACTTTCTCCGCTTCGCATCAAAGCTAAAATACACAGTAGATTCTCGTTAAATAAACTTATCTCAAAAGAATTAGGAAAAAGTTAAAGATATCAAAAATTTCAAGTTATGAAAGTATAAAAAAGTGTATAATATTAATACTTAGGGATTTCAATAGTTTGTGATAATGAAAATTTTAACATAACAACGTACAATATAAGAAGAATTTACTATATATACTTATCCAAGATTTAACTTTATTTGTTATTTCAGATAGGTAAGTTGTACTCATTTAAGTGTAAAAACAGAGAACTATTTTTCAATTTTTTTATAATAACTCTTTGGGTTAAAAAAAAATTAAAATTAACTAGCCTACATGATTTCCCACAAAATTCTAAATAAAAGTACTGAATTCTACCAAAGTAGAACAAGACAAGATGAATTTTCCTCATATTTATGTAAAAATTATATGTATATCCTAATTGAGGGATGATGCGACCAAGTCGGTAACACATCAGTGCTTAATGTGCACTGCCTTGGGTTTAACACTTAGTCATAGGCGGCCTCATTTGCCAAGTGAGGGATCAGTTTGATGATTGGAGTCACCATCTATCTTTCTAGCAACTGACTAGTCACTTGTATTGGAATATCAATGGTTATAAAAACCAAACCTTTGGGGAGGTTGCTATGTCTTTTAATGGCCTTAGAAACTTACAAAATACCCTATTAAACTTATATTAAGTAAATGTGTTTAATAAAAGTAAAAATAACTAATTCTGTAAATAATAATGTAATATGATTTTAATTAAAATATATTTATGTAATGTAAAGCTTTAACTACTATTTATTAATTTAAATATTTTTAAAGTTATAATTAAGATAACTATTAATAAACTACATTTTTATTCTTGAACTGATTTGTTTTATATCGATTCATATTAAATATTTACCGCGTTTCTTAAATGTTCACATAATGTCATTTCTAATTTGTCAAATTTTTCTTCATCTTTGTTGAAATCAATTTTCACTTTGGATATGTAAGTTCCATTGTAATAGGTCTTAAGATAGTTATTAATAAACTAGAAAAAAAAAAATCAGTTATTAATCTAATTTGATAAAATAAATTAATTTTAAATCCCTGAAATTAAATTTATATAGGATATGAAATAACATTTTTCTTCTCTATTATAAGTAACAGTGTTTTAAAATTTTATCAACCAAAATATCTAGAAATACTATAATCTATGTCAGTGCAATTTATTTTTACTTATTTTTCTAAAAAAGGGGAACTTTTATTCTTAGGTTTTGTTAAATAACTAGATACTTATAAGGGTATCAACATTATTTTTTTTTAATAATAACGTAAGATATATTTCTACTAGCTTATATAATAAATAAAAAACAATTAATAACAACTTTAAAATCATTCTTTCCAATTTTAGTGCAGCTGAAAAATGTCTGATGAAAAATAATTAAAACTTGTACATCATAACTATTCAATAATTTGGTGTTTATTGCTAAAATTTAAAGGTACAAAAATTGTTATTATCCAGTAATTTTCTTAATAAGGACATTTTCTAATATATAAGCTAGTGAGATTAATGATATTGTAGTAAAATAAATTAGAGTAACACTTTGGACTAGACCTAAAAAATAAATATTTTAGAAATTATTGTAATTTTAAAGTCCAACATTATCTATATTTAATTGGTAATTAATGTTTTATTATATGTTAGGAGACCATAAAGTAATGGCTGAAAATTAAGTAGTAATTGTAGTGCAATGTAATTATCTTATGATAAATTTTTCTTAACTTTACCAAAAACTAAAATTCATAATTTTAAGCTTTTATAGAACTTTACTACTGAAATAATTATTTGCCTTATTATTTAGCTAAAATTTAGAAAACAATGTAATTAATATAAATATAAAAAAAAAATTAAAAACGCCTATTTTTAAAAAAAATGGCATGTAATTTCTTCCAGCATTTATTAGGAGCAATAGGAGTTCTCTTAAAGGGTGATTTCTTAACCATGAATATTCTGAGACCGCTAATTAGTCAATGGTCGGAGCGAGGGATGACAACTCCAATTACTGACTGATCTCTCATTCAGCAAACAAAGCCTCTCATGACCAAAGGCAGTGCCAAAATATTTATTAATATGAGAATTTCTTACATTATATGCATGGTTCACATATTTATCAACATTCGGATTGATTTCTAAACGACGATACTTCAAACTTTCTTCCCATTTAGCTGAGAGCCATTGTATAAATAGATCTTGTTCATGGTTTATTAATTCAGCATAAGACTAAAAAGAATGCAATAACTACATGACTTTTAAAAAGACATTTTTTTATTATTACTTTAAATGATTTTGATGTAGATGCATTTGGTTTTTTTAAATATCTTACGTACTTATCCATCAAAGAATAACTCAACACTGAATAATGTGGAGGCATATGTAAACCAAATAAAAATTGATTTGTCAATTGAAAAGTATCATTCCCCTAAAAATGTATATTTATGAACTAATATGATTTTATACTATTTTTTTACATATACATAATATTTATAACATTATTTTTATAAAAATGTAATGTTATAATTAATCTTTAAGAAATAAAAGTGAAGAGATCACGTTACTATAAGTTATATTAAAACAATTTTACATCTAGAATGATAAACATATGGATTCAAATCTCTATAATATTTTGTGGATTAGTTAATTTATGTATGAAAAAAAAATTATCAAATTTTATCATAAATAATAAATTTTACTATAAACTATATAGTCTATTTATAGTGTTCAGTAAGTAAGGAAACAGATTTATATTGTTCTCGTTGTTTGTAAAAACCGACTTACTGAACACCTTAATAAATATACATATTTATATATAATATAAATATAAGGACTATATAAAAAAATATCTTGATTTTTGTCTGTCAACACTTTTTTTCAACTCTCACCAAACTGATTTCTTTTAACAATATGTCAAAAGATTTTTGTTTGCATGAATCACTCAATAGTGGGTCACATTATTAGGCCCTATCAGTAATGATATGTCATTGTCCAGATTGGAGCCATTGAACGTTCGAATGGATTTAGTTGCTGGCTTACTTCACTTTTTTGGTCATCAAATAACAGTTTCTTTGTTATTTTTCATTTTAAATCTCACTTAACTTGTTACGTGTAACACTAGTTCACTGATTTTTTCTGTTAGTCATACTCTAGCATTAAGTTTTTTCTGTATTTTGCACACTAATTTTACTAATTAGTTACCATTTAGTTCTACATTATTTTAATCTGTTATTTAATCTTTAATTCATCTAAGCTGTTAGATGATTATTTAATACATTGATAATAGATAACAGATGGTATATAATGTATACCATATAATATAAAAAATATTAGTTGTAATATATATTATGTATTACAACTCATACTTTTTACCTATTAGCATAATTTGTTCCTTGCATTCTTATTTTTGGCCATGAAATACATATTTTTACTTATACAATCATAAATAAAAATACTTGTTATTAATTAAATTCTGGCTGTTGACTATCTTTTTTCACTCTTACTTTTATATAGTCTACTCATATAATGATAGAGATTTAGTCTCAGAATAAGATACATGTTCAAAACTGATCAGGTAGTTTTATGGTCAGAAAATATCATGATATTAGTACAGATGTTAAATTTAGAGAGTAAGTATTAGGTCATAGATTTATTATTAGGTACTGATCTTGAACATAATACTTACAGTCATAAAAGCTAATAGTTCATAACTAATGGTACTTGTTTACAACTGTAACACATTTGGTTAATGGAAATAAAACCTCCATCCAGGAATAAACTTGTCGCTTATGTTGGGCTGATTATTTTGTTTTTTAATTCCTCTCCCAACTAAATTAATTTGACATTAACTCATACAGAGTAATTCACTTATCATGAACCACTTAATTAATCGAAAAATAAAAAAAATATTAATAATATTTTTCTTTTAGTTCAATATTTTTCTCAATTTTTCAATCATAACATTTTTTTTTATGTTAATCTCATATACCTTATACCATATACCTTAAGGTGTCAAATTTAAATTCTCAAATGGTAACACTCATAATTAACTAGCTTATTTAATAGATTATGATCTAGTTAAAAAATGACTGGCCGATAACAACTTTTGGACCAGTATTTCAGAAGTTATTAACAATTTAAAGTAATAACTGGAAGGTGAACAGTGGATACTTCTATTTTTATAACTAAACATTTCCTGATCATACTTTTTCTCTAACCTAGATATAAATATGGTATCTATTAAATAAGTTAGTTAATTAGGAGTGATACCATTTGAGAAATTAAAGTTGACACTCTTATAGGAATAAACATAATAATGATTGTTATTTTATAAAAAATAAATAAATAAAATTTTTATTTGAAAAATTAAGAGAAACATTGAAATAAATAAATTATTAATATTATTTTAATTTTTCGATTAATTAAATGGTTTATGATAAATAAATTACCTGCATACTAGAAAAGAACTTTTAAAATTTGTCTATTATTATTATAAATAAAATTAATAACTCAAGTACAGTGGCGATTATGGAGAAGGTCCTATGGAGCTAAACCCACTTTAATTGACATAAAATTATGGTAATTTAATTATTTGATCATAAAAAGGGCGAAACTATCCACTACACTATGTTATGAAAGTTACCTGTAAAACCCCATGTCAAATTTTTAAATAAGCCACTATTTAAATTATCCAAATAATGTAAGACAATTCAACATATATTTATAAACAATTTTTTTGTTACTTGTGGTTTACATTCCTTTGCTGTGTTATTATCTCGTATATACTGGAAACAGTAAGCATTTTCTATCAAATATTTTGGATCATCAAGTGGCTTTAATTGACTAAAAAAAAATGTTTAATTAGTTAAAACGAAATTTATTTGTTTTAAATCTGTTATTTGGCATGGAAGAGGTAACTGTGAAATAGTATAAAGTTATTTTTATTGACTTATTTATTTATGGATAGTGTTAACAGTAAAAAATTAGTATTTGTATATCAACATTATTTTAAAATAAAGTAGCTTATATATTTGTCCAGGATTATAGTTTACAATATTTGAAGGTAATTGAATACTAGGCACAACAGAATTAACCGACCTGTGGATATTATTATTTATAGAAATTATTTAACAAAATGAAATTTTACAGTAAATTATTTATTAAAGTAATTTAAAATCATTTACATGCAGATAAATAGAAAATTAATATTTTTACACTTACGCGTCTTTCATGTATAATTCATCCATATCAGCTGAATATTGCTATATTATTATAAAACATAGTTTCAACTATTTGAAAGTCCTGTGTCTAATTTAAAAGATATAAAAAATTATTTTGAGCAGTGGACTGATAATACAAAGCGGCGACGAGAATATCAGTATTTCATTGATAAGCAATACTATTTAACATAAAAAAACAGCAACATTTAGCTACTGCATCATGAGTGCTATCTAAGTGATGTATTTGCTTTACTTTTAATTATTATTTTTCTTAAATATAGGCTTAATTTTAGAAAATTTTCATTTCTTGTAAATAAACTTTGGGGATTGAAAAAATCAAAACTTTAAAATGTAACTGATTAATCTTTAATTGGCATTATATTTAATTTAGATTTGTTTTCAGAATTCTCATCATATCAGTAGTTTCATCCAGTGGTGCAACCGCAAAATATTGTTTGTGGTAGGGAATAATATCTATTTTTTTGCTCTACATCATTATTTAGTAAAATTTTAATAAGCAAAAAAATAATTATTACAACTAAAATATCAAATATAATTAAATAGTCATTTTTGAAAGTATTTTTGAATGAATACAACCCTTAAACACCTACTGATTTTGTCATACTATTAGAACACAAACAGATATTTTCTTTGTATTCATAATCTGATTTCAAACGAGCTGTTTATGTGACATGTCAGTGTACGTTATCCTACACTCGCACTAATTATTGTTTATTTCTCACAAATCGAAACTGCGTAACATACATTGTATCATAAATTGACTGAATTTCACCACTTAAAAAAATTCTGTACTTTAAAATAAATACATTTTTATAATTTATATGTATATAAAAATAAAAATAGCAAGCTTACACCCTAGAGGTTCCAAACTTAAGATAAAAGCGTTAACACAGAATTCACAATTACATAATGTTTGTATTTTTTGGTATATGTTTTATTACAACAGACTTATTAAAAACTCATTTATTAACATCTTAAATTTTATATTACTATTATTTTGTAAAATTGTTTTAAATGTAGTTTATAATTAACTATTATTCAGTACACAATTACTTTTTGATTGTAAATCACGAGTTGGCTCTTTAAATAAATATTTATAGAAGTCCAGCACTATGAAATCTTCAGGAGAACCTTTAATGAATATTCCTTTGTAATTGGAAGGATCTATAATGCCACCTTTTTTTTCCCCGTAAACCGTGTAGGTTTCTATTTTTTTAAACGGTTTTTTTACCCAACGATTTAATTTTTTTTTTTTGCCAAATTTCTTTTCATTTTTTTTAAATTTAAAGGAATCCTAAAGAATCACATATTTATTGTAGGACCCTTATAGAAATTTATGACCTTTATTGACTCAAGTACTTACTTTTTCCTTTAGATTCTTTTCAGTTATTAAGATTTTTAATTGAGCCATTTTTTTCGCAATGTCTTTCTTATGATTTTTAATTGCATTAGAAATTTTTTTTTGTTCAATTTTTTTTTCATCTTCCTCTTTAATTTTTCGATTGATTTCATCTTTATGTACGCGCCAAAGAAACCTCCTGTACTCATTGTACTCTTTGAGACTACAAATAACTTCAGTATCTTTTGTTATAAGTCCTTGTTTTATAAGAAACTTTCGATTATTTTCAATGTTTATCCATCGTTTTAAATGCGGATCGTGCAGTGGATTATATGAATAAGACACTTCGTTTCCATACGGATCATCCAAAGAAAAATTCAATTTACCTGTAGCCACTTTCCATGGATAATGACCAATAATACCTCGGTGAAAGTTTATAGGACCGTTCGGACCAGGTCCATGATACTGAGGAATTTTTTGGGAAAGCTCTCGAATTTCCCAATTAGGTAAGGCGTCTTTAATTGGTCTGGATTTGGGTAGAGGCACAGAATCTATGAGCTTGGATATTTTTGAAGGACGGCGTAAATGCAATATCTTTGTTCTGTCACATTTTTCGATGGGTTTCCATTTTTTGTTTAATGCCGGCAACAATTTTTCTTGTGTTCCACATTTTAACATATTTTTAATTAAATTACTCAAGTTATCCTGTTTAAGAGGAATTTATTTATGATATTTTCTGCCAATCATAACAAAATAAATAAATTTGTTGCTTAGTAAAAGTCCCAAGTGAATTATTTTTTAGACATTAAAAAAACTATATAAGTCCATTTTTTTATTAGTTTTGAATAATCATGGATTTTATGCTGTTTTAATACAAAAACCGGGTTTTTATGGAATTATTCGCAGAAATATTTTTGGAAAAAGAAGTTTTGTCATTATGTTAATTATAAATTTTTCAGTATATTTCTTCTCCTGAAAATTTACAAAAGTGAACTTGTTTAATTGTTGCACTGAATCCTTCAATTAAATTATGATTTAATCAATTCTATCTTTGTATCATTAATTCAAATTTACTACTATCTACCTAAATTATAGATCCATAATATATAGTAAATAGTTAAAAATCAGCGGTACTGTTCTTCACTAAAATTGTGATGCTTCAAATTTTATTTAGAACTTTCTCGTCCAATTATTTGTTAGCAAACAACCTAACATAATTACTTTTAAAAATTGATAAATACAATGTTTTCAGGACTGGATTATATCTTTTTGGTGCCATTGGGTCCAAATAAGAATGGGTCCCAAAAAAAGTTATCCCCTAAAAATTGTAAACAATATTTTTATTACAACACAGATAAAAACTGTAGGTACTAAAAATATCAATAATAATACAACTTTGAATTTTTCAAGTTATTTTATCAATTAAGCGAAATAGACTAGGTGATTTTTCTTTGTGGACCCCTATTACTCGCGGGTCCGGGGGTCATGTTGCCTCCTTAATCAGACCCCGAAATTTTTATATTAATAAATAAATAATTGTTTACATAGGCTTTAACTCAGTAATTAATTAAGAATTTTCAATAATAGATATATTCGGAGGAGGAATAATGCAGCTCAACAAATTTAAAAATATTTTTATAAATAATCATTTAATTTAGAGTTTCATGTAATTTTATCAGAAAATGTATACATTTTATCTTTAATAATATTAACAAATAACAAAATTATATTACTAGCCGCATTTTTAAAGGTACTTTGGATTTAATAACTTGTATTTTATTTTTACTTAAGTAAACTTTTTTGGGGTACAGGCCCACATTTAGGGGGGCATTGGAGGCATTTGCCATGGGCGGCAAAAATCTTAATAGGTATACAATTTTTAAAAATTAATTATTTTTATTTAATTTAAAATTTTTTCTAACAGAACAATTTATTTTTATGAAACAAAAATACCTATTTCTAAAAAAAAATATTACTTTATTATTTTCCAACTTAAAACGTGTACAAAGATATAAATGTAAAAGAAGATATATCAAAGCTATATAACAACGTAGACTGCAGTTAGTAGTTAAATAATAGCATTGATTATACATAGTAATATTTATAATCAACAGCACTATAAAGAAAGTAGGCATCAATTTATTTGATTCATGTTTTTATCTAATTTTAACAAAGTATTGATATTTTCTCCCTTAAACTGGTTTTGTGGATGTCGTCGACCGTTGATAGTCGATTATTATGAGAATACTAAGAAAGTTAAAACACAATAATTTGTCTCATTTTTTCACAAAATTAAGATCTTTAAATGAAAATTGGAGTTCAATATGAATTCCTTAAATATATTTGAATGCAATGCAAATGAAAAACCTAATACTCAGTTTGAGACTAAAGGCATAAAAGAAAAACTAGACACTTTAGAAATAGGATTTTTATCAATATTTTAGGGTAATATTTTACAAAGGTTTAATGCTGTTAGTAAAAAGCTACAGTGTGTCAATGTTGATTTAGGTGTTGTGGTAGAACCTTATAACTCATTAATTACTTATGTAACAGATTTTAGATCTGACAAGGCTTACGAAAACTTAAAATCTCAAGCAATTGAAAAAATTAATGTAAAACACTTCAAAAATGACCAAAAACGTTTACAAAAGAAAAAAACATGCCTTGATGAAGGATCAGGTGAAGATGTTACCTTTACAAAATCAGAATCTTTTAAAGTTGACACTTATTTTGTCATGTTAGATAAAATTAAAGCTGCACTTGAAAAAAGAAAAAAATCATACGGTCTTCTTCTTGATAACTATAATTTTTTTTTGCAGTTAACAAATATTTCAGTACCTGAAATATTTAAAACTATTACGAAACTTCAAAAAGAATTTGAAATTGATTTAGAACCTCCATTTGTGAATGAATGTTTACATTTGAGAGAACATTTAAAAAGCCTTTCTGATGGTATTCCAAAAGCGATTCAAGAGATTTGTATGTTTATCAGACAGAAAAACTTACAAAGCATTTATCCTTATATTGATATGTCTTTGAGAATGTTGCTATGTACACCCATAAGCAATTGTTCAACGGAGAGATCTTTTTCAACTTTAAAAAGAATTAAATCGTATCTAAGATCTAGTACGTCTGAGGATCGATTTAATAATTTAGCTTTTTTGTCAATTGAAGGTGAATTGGCATCTAAAATAAATTATGATGAGGTAATTGAAAAATTTTCGTGTATTAAAAGTAGAAAAAAATTATAATTGTTTTTCTTGCTTATTGATTAACTATTGTTATGTTAATAAATTATATTTATAAATAATTTTTCTATTGTTAATATTCCTAAACTTTTGTAAAATAATTCAATTATAAATTATCAAATGGCCAATTTTTTACTCTTAAAAAAAATTTATGATTTAAAATAATGGTAGGGGAGGCAGTGGCACATTTATGGGGGGTCTATGTGGTTTGGACCCCCCACCCATGGTCCCATTGATGTCTAATGTAAACAAGGGAAATTGTTTTGAAGACCTTTTTTTTTGCTCAACTAAAAAACCCAACCCAACACTTTTTGGGGGGCGGCAAAATTCCTAAATGCGGCCCTGCTTGGGTAGATTATTTTGTAATCTAGAGTTGAATTTAAACATAGTTTAAATGTTTTAAAAATTATGAGAACTTAAAACGAATGATATTCAAAAATATTGATTTTTATATTTCGTAACAAGTATTAATACAAAGGTTTTTAAAACAAGTTAGTATTAAAATGTCAATGTATATAATAATAAATAGATGTATTACACTTACTTTGATCAAATTAGCACAATTTAGCTAAATTTCAATGTAATATAATGTACTTCATATTATATTACTTTATAAATAAATAAAAAAAAAATTTTTTTGTTAGAATACTTTTAACAATAATATTAGAATGTTGAAATGAAAACAAAAGTAACATAGTTTTTTTTTTGAAATAAGAAAATGTACAAAATTATAAGTAAAACATACTAAAAATTATAATTTAACTATAAATATAATTATATATAATTTTAATTTTTAAATAAGAATAAACTCAAACGTATTAATCTCTAAACTTAAAGTTATAGAGTGCCAATGATATTCAAGTCAGTTTTAAATTTAGTTAATCAGTAATTTTAACCATTTTTTCTTCTTCAATAATAAGAGATTTATGATATTTTAATACAAACTCATAAATATTTTCAATTGACATATACATATTAGTTATAGGATGTACATTGAAAATATAAATGTAACAAAATTAAATAAAAATAGAAACTTTTAAATTTTATTTTTTTATTATAAATGCTATAAATCATTGAGTTATTGTTTGGATCACACATTTATTCTCCAAAAAGTTTTTTTCCTAACTCCATAAATTTATGCGCTCGACATGCTGTAATAGCATCTTTCTTTTTCAATACTGCTACTAATTCACTGTTAGCCTCAATAAGGCGACACAATAAATCTTCGTAAGCATACTTTACATTGGTAGGTAACGTATTTGGTTTAATTTTGACTAGCATTTCAATTATACCTTCGGCCCATCCGCTTTCAATAGCAAACTCAGATATCCATGGAACAAGAGTCAAAATACCACTAAGATTTTGCATACCCAAAAACCACAACTCTTGTAGTTCCATCCATGATTCTTTGTATGTCATTGTTACAACTAATTGACCAGAAGTATAACGTGAACTACTGCTACTATTTTCATCCAAACTATAAGCATCCCACAAAAATCGAATAGTTGACTGAATGTAGCGACAAATAGAGAAGTCATTTTTTTTTATATAAGTACTCTTCAATTTTAAAAGCAACAAGCCTAACACAGCCAAATTTCCATACATTACAAGATTTTCATGATTATTTTTCAATTCGGGTAGATTATCAAAAATAAATTTCATCAATGTTAAAAACAGAGGACTTCCTTTTACAAAGTCTCCTTCTAGCACACACATGTTCATGAATGTATTACATAGACTAATAATAGCACCACGAGAATCAGCCATTTTTTTTAAACGAGCTTCAGGGATTTCAGGTTCTGGACCTCTTGGTTTTAATCTTTCAGATTTAGGAATCACAGGTTTTTTATAGTGAGCAATAGACCAATGGAAAGCTAAGCATTCATACAATACCTCATCCTGTTTAGTTTTTATAAGCACTTCTCTACCTTTATCATCTACTGCTATGTGACATAGAGCTGGTAAGAATGCCCTTAAAACATCTACTGAACTTAATGGGTCATCAGTTACTAATGTTGGGTTCGGCTTTACATTTTCTGATATGTACCTAGCACGGTAAGCATAAAAAGATTCGTTTGCTATTTGCAAAGCAAATGGCAAAATATTATTCACAGCTGGTCTCATTGATGCTGTTTCTTGTGCTAACCAAGCTGACAGTGACATAAGCATAACACAAATGAAACACTTAACTTTAGTTTCCAAAGGCTTTTTAGAGACAGAAAGAGCTTTCAATACATTCAATACTGCAGAAAATGCACCTTTGAGTGCAGTATAAGTTTGTTGCTTTTCTTTTTCTTCTAAATCTAATACATCAGTAGCAAGGTAAGCAAGTGATATTTCCAATATTGTGAAACATGGAGTAAGTAAATTTTCTGCTTCTAAAATCTGAAAAAAAAAATGAAATAATATTTAAAGAATTATTGCTGAAATTATTTTAATAGTGAATAGTGTAAAGTTATTTTTACTAGTCTAGGTAAGTTTTGATTTAATTAAACTTAAAAACTAGAATAATTAATATTGTTTATTTAAAAAAAAATGTTATAAGAAGAAAATATTTTATCTTTTTGTATTTACTAAGGCCTAATTTAGTAATTATAATGTAGTAAAAATTATTGTTTTCATATGTTCAAAAAATAAATACATTAGGATGCTGTTAAAAAATAAACTTTAAAAATATTGTTGGGGCACTTGGTCATATTATTTATTATTGTGATAAATACTCTCGAAAAATTTTAAAAACAATTTATTAAGTTTTAAAGATACCAACTGATAAATATTTTGGTTGTACAAAGTCATTATAATTTATTGTATTTTCAAATTTCATAAACAATATAATTAATGATAACAGTAATAATCACAGTTAATAAACAAATTTTTATATAATACTAGTGATTCAGCATATTCTATCGCAACATACATGATACAAATTTAGGAAAAGGTCAATGTACCCTATAGAATAAAAAATCATGTTGTGTAAAAAATCAAAGACATTTTTAAAGAATGGCAAAAACTAAAGAGATCAAGGAACATAAAGCAAAAAAACCTGAAGGCCTAAAACAAAAAGAAAAATAATGACAAAAGTCACTTAAATATCTATTTGATATCGCTCACGCTAAGACTTTGATAAAATTTGCATTCCAGAAGATAGAGAATTTCTTCATTTATAGAGTAAAGTAGAATGTTCTGTTAAAATTGGTAATATAAATAGAAAATTAACAAAAAAAAAAAGCTGAGACTGAAATGAGAATATTTCTACTGATATTATAACTTTTGCACAAAACCAACTTGAAAATTTTCAACCAAAAGACTATTATAATGACTTGTTAAATCTTAATATTATCTTCCTAAGAGGAGTTATTCAACTAGAAATGAACTACAACTTTTTAAATACTTAAAAAATATAAAGAGATAAATGATATACTGTCTAAAAAGGTATGAAGAAATTCCTTGGACATCTTTGGTACTAGACAGAAGAAATAAAACTTTTGCAATTTTTGATAAAAATATTTCTACTAAGACCAAATGTTAAATGATGAGTACCTTGCAAAATGAAGGATTGGAGCATCCTCTGAAATACATAAATATAGATCCCAAATTAGTAACTGAAAGGTTTTGTATCTAGAAACACCCTCAGATTTTTCAGCATATTGGATATTTCATCTAAATTTTTAACTAAAAATATTGAAATTTGGGAAAATGACAGAGATTATAAAACAAGTTTGAAAATATTTCGTTCTATGAGGGTTAATGGAAGAATACAACAAATTTCACACTAAAAATGAAGATCAAAAACAGTTTTGTTATTATTGTTAAACAGTTCAGATAAAAGTATCCTGACATAAAAAAATCAACCTTGTTACAATAATATTTTATAATTTTCTTATGTTAATAGTTTTTAAAAACATTTATTATGTTATGTTTAAAAAATAAAAATAATAGAGTAAAATTTTTGGTTTTTTATTAAAAAAATAATTCTAAAAAATATTAAAAATGTACCAGTGGTTTATACATATTTTTCGAGGAGAGCATCACAATAAATAAGATGTATCAAATAACTGTCACACTCTATGAATTAGTACTCTCTAGAGGATACCAACAGGCTTTTTTTATTTTACGATAAAAATGTTTCACAATAATGATGTATTTTTTAAACTTAGTAAATTTACAAAGTTAACATCTTATTTTTTTTAGTTATCTTTTTGTTATTTGAAAAGATACCATAAAAATAGGAAAAATTACCAAATATGAAATATAACACCTGTTTAAAGGGGTTTAACCCTCCTTTCAATAGGCCATTGAAATGTATAAATAAATAAGACAAAATAAAATAATTATTTTTTAAATTAAAAAAATTAATACAATCAAAATAATTTATCTTGCTTTATATTACGATAATAAAATAAGTAATTTAACTAATGTTTAATTTAATTACCTGATCAGTAAATTTTTTGTCCTCTAAATGCATGCGTATCTCAATTGCAGCAAGATGAATCAACAATAAAAAGAAAGCTTTAGGCTTTGTTTCATCTTGCAATGACCAATCTACACCAAATATTGTTAGCATATGTTGTGCTAACTTGAGAGCTGGATCTCGCTGAGCTTTAACAATTTTACTCATGAGAATATCCCGTAATCCAACAAAAATTTTGGAAGGCCAAATTTCACTATCACATGAATTTGGACCAATTTCTAAAGGACAGTTAATCAAAAGTGATGAGAGCAAGACACAAAGTTTAAATTTACGCTCACTATGATCAGTTTCAAAATCAACAGCTAAAACATTAATTAATGAGTTAAAATTTTTTATATTACTATCCCACGAAGATGGTCCATGTTTTTGAACAATTGTGACCAATAAAGCCAATGCCTCATCGGTCTGAAAACTTTTGACAGAATATACTTCACACATTTTACCTACTGTACCAGCATCTAATAATGCTTTTGTTCCTTTTTCATACTGAGCAATAAAGTTCAAACACTTATATGCTTCATTAATCAACATAAGGTTGTCTTCGTCTTCTTCATCTTCATCATCACTACCACTGAGAACAATTTCTAAGAAAACGCTAACATTTTGTAATATTTCTTGATGGGTGGCTACTTCTTCAACATTGCATAATGCAGACAGAATGCTCATAGCTACAGATTTATAAACAAATGGCGGGCAACCTGCAGGAACTTCATCACTAAGAAGAAGGCGCTTGATGAATTTAAATTCGATAGCTTCAAACAATGCTAGTTTAGATCGAGCATTGCATTTTTCTGCTTTCACAGTTTTTGTGACTAAAAACAGTGCAGCAAATTTTTCAGTATCATTTTTAGCACCTTTAATGACACCAACACATTTTTTCACAGATTCCAATACTTCTTCACTCATTTTAAAATAAAAATATATAAAAACCTTATATTAATAAGGAATAATTCATTCATTCACCCACGGGACATTGAACGTATAGACATACAAATGTATTAAATTTCCTGTATGAATACGAAGAACCCCACTCTCCAGTTAATTCAGACTATGTTCTATATTTAGATTTAAAGAAGTTCTCTAAAACAGATATGTGGCCTTATGCCAAATCTTTCTATTACACAACATTTTATAAAAAAATAAGAACATAATACCTTACATAGTTCTATGGTAGTTCCAGGATCAATAATATAAAATTGTTGTCCTATCTTTTTTTACATTGAGAATAGAATATTATAATTTTACAATATATATTTAAATAAATATATATATATATATATAATTTTAATGAAAATACAAGTGGCATATTTATTGGCTAGAGGCCAAATTATTAAATAATTTTAATGAACTCCAATGAAAATTTTAAACAAAAAAACTTTGATTATTAAAATAAAATAATTGTGAATACTTTATTTAGTTCAAATGTTATACTTGGAATTATTTAATTCAAATAAATAAATGTTAACAGATAACAATTTCCCAACCATGTGCGTTTTAGTGATAATATTAGCGGCAAATTCTATTTTATAGTCTACACATTGTAGAATACATGAAGCCTAGTTTTAAAGATAGGGAATAGATTAATATTTTTAAAAAAATTCATCATTCTTATTTTATTTATATTTGGAACTAATATTTCAAAATATTAATATTGTTAACTCTTTTTTATACGTTTTTTAAATATGGCATAGGTAGTATAATTTATTGGCAGTAAAAATTATTTTATATTTTATAATAACTAAATATCTTGATTTTTTTATCTACCTGAAGCTAAATACTATTATTACAATGAACATCAACTTTTAATTGTCTTTTTAAGCATCAACTGAGTAAAAATATTCTATACCCATGGAGACCTGTTATATCTTTAATATACTGGCCTTCACAAGTTTAGGCTGTTTTTTAAAAATTGACAAACAAACAATAATCATTGTCGGTACTGAAAAATGATTCTAATATGCGATAATATTTCATTAGATGATCTATTTGAAATAGTTTATGATGATTCTAAATTAAAAAATATTAGTACGCATCATTACATTGTATACTTTATAATAACATTATATTTTTAAAAAAAAATATTCCAGCATAAGTCTGTAAGTTTCACAGATGATTTTTTCAGGAAGTTAATATTAAATTGGTTTGGAGGTTGTAAAATTAAATAGCATCTTGCATGTTAGTTACACTAATACTGCATTATAAGTTTTTCCTTTAGAAAATTTTTCATGTCTTTACTATATTGAATAAATCCATTTTTATTATATTCATACATTATTAACAATGAATTTGTTTAAATAAGAAGTACGGGACCTGAACTCAGCATTTTTTTTGCATATGACACAAATTAAAAACTAGCCCAAGGTTACTTAAAACACTCAATCAAAATAACATAATGTCTAAAAATATCATGCAATTTTTTTTTAATCTTTGGTGAAACATTCAACGTTCATAAAAATTCGCAGTTATTATTTTGCCAAAAATAACATTTTGCGACATAAATTTAACAATTTTTATAATAATTTTACTGTTTTAAGCTATAGCTGAAATTATTTAAAAATAAGTACAGACATACTTTATTAGTTTTTAGTTTTGTTTTGACTTTTAAAAAACATAAAAACTAGTTGTATATAATAGGTTTTAAAATTGATAACTGCATTTTTGTATAAATCTGTAAGGATTCTTTAGTTTACATATATTTGAAATTTGAAGAGCAAATCAAATATTAAATAACATAAAAGATTATCCTTTTAATTTCACTGATTAAATGCTAGGGTCGTGTTGGATATACAGTTATTAGTTCAAATGTTGAAAAGAACTTTCTTTTTAAAATTATTATATTGTATCAAATAAAGACTATTGTTAATTTTCATAGACCATACAAATAAATTTTTAATTTTCTTATATTTTGTAAGGAAATTGCAGCTTTTTCACACCTTTATAATGTAAAAATATTTTAAGCCATTTCATAAACCTTGTTCTTTAAAGTTCATGTTGATCAGAATCTTACATCAAAATTACTTATGATTGGATAAGAGTACGATATAGAAATATTTTTAATACAAAATCATAAAAATTAAATAAAAAGTAAAATTTTATTCATCTCTTAACTAAAATATATCATTACAGTAATTTGTAATAATAACAACATACTTCTTTTTTAAGTTCATTTGTTTTATTAAATTTATTGGTTATGTTACAATTAACTGTACATAGTAAAACAAAAATATTGATTGTATCTTAAAATTAATCTACAACTAAATAGCAGTTCCTCTTTCTAAATTTTGTTTGATTTGAGTTGTATGTTCTCCATAATACCGTTCTAACTTTGCATTGAACCTCATATTTCTTTCATTAATATAGTCAATATCAGCTTCATCGTTATGAGTTCTTCTTCTACTGAACTTTTGGCGTTTTGCAATCCTAGAAGAAAAATGTTTACCAAAATAATTTATTTTCCATTAAATAATAATGATTTGAAAAAAAAAAAATCCAACAAAATTTAAAAATAAACTAAAGTGAAAAATTTTTAATACATAGTTTAAATTAAAAATATATATCTTACTGTTTTTCAAGATCATCAACCATTCTATCAATACCTTCTTTAGAATCTTTTATTTTGTCATGTAAATATGTATTGGCTTCAGCATAAAAGGCATTTCCTAGTTTTTCTTTTTGTCTTTTGTAAGCATCCATATCAACTTTCATGTTACTAATCATCCTGTTATATTGCCGAGCTGTTGCTTGTTCATAATCAGAGAAACCAGGATCAGGGTTTTTACGTTTCTTTTTTCTTTCAATTGCATCAGCTTCCATAGCAGTCATATTTAAAAGTTTTAAACGATCATAATCTTGTCCCTAAAATAATAAAAATATTAAAGTTCATTAATTTTAACAAAATGATTATTAAAAAATTCATGTTACTTTTTCTTTAGCTTCTTTTCTCATTTTATCATCATTAATTAACCATTCAGCTTTTCTTTGTCTTGCTTCCCAATTAGATGGTAATTTCATAAGTTTATCTTCTTCGATTACCTCTTGGTGGTTGTTAACTCTTGCTTCATTCTGAAAAATTTATTCAAAAAATTGAAAAAGTGAAGTTTGTTTGAATAGCTTACTTTATTAATACATAATTGGTAAAGCATACAAATATTTGTAAAAATACACATTGAACTAAAGAAGAAAAGCTAATGAAACCTTTAATTCAATAAATCTAAGTTAATTTAACTATAAAGTAATAAAATTAAGCAATAAAATAATTAGTCAATGACAAAAATATTTAGTTTGTTAGGTTTTATATAAAATTATACAATATTAATTTTCTAATATCTAGATAATATGCAATTACTTTTTGTAACTTATATGAGCCTTTATAATTTTATGAGAATTGTATAGACAATATTTTACATCCTAAAATTATTTTAAAATAACTTAAATGTATTGAAATTAAAAATCATTAAAATAAAGAAATCAAACTAGTTTTACTTATTAAAAAAAAATTATACTAATTAAAAATTGTGAATTATTAATCTATAAATATATTAAATAATTCCTTTTTATCTAAATTTGTTATACTACTTTCATTCCACATGGAAATTAACAATAACACCCAAGGTAATACATTATAAATACAAGATTAGAAGTAATTATTTTAAATATAGTTAAAGAAATTTGATTTTAATAACAATATTTCTAAAAATTAATTAAAAGTTTGTTAAAAATATTAAATATTTTCTGTTTTATATACTAGTTGAAGTTAAGTGGGGTATATGTACTAAGGCGAGTTAATTAGTGATTCTTTTACTCTTTTAATTATTCAACAGATATCAATAATAAAATAAGAAAAACTGTTTTACATAAAAAAGTGAAATGCTTAAAATAACATTTTAATTATCTGACTTTTTAGACTTATTTATTTTATAAAAAATTAAAATATTTTGTACTGAACAATAATGAATGTCATAATTACTCGTTTTATATGCAGATCTCTAAGTTTCTTTAGCCTCTCTGCCTTTTTAGCTTCAGCACTATTATGGACAACGGAACTCATAATTTTAATTTGAGTGTCAAATTCGATTTTTATTTTTTATATAACAGTATACAGCGTTTTACTAAATGTATAACTCGATATTATCTTTATTCCTTAACTATTTACTATGATAAGAGCAGAGATAAATAAATGGTTGGTTAGTAATGGTTATACTTTATTTTCTACTAATAGAGGGCAGGTCAGTATTTATATAAAACGCTGCTTAAATTTGAAAATATAAGTTCAAAATATTTTATAGCGCTAGTTTTTATTATACTTAATATCATTATAAATTCTTATAGACCATAGTCTGAATAAATTTAGACTCTTCTTTTCTTTTTATAATTCTATACAAAATTATCGAACTTATCAATTTGTTTGACCCCTTCAAATAAAAAAAACGTTTTGATATAAAAAAAAATTATTTTATAAAACAAAAAATTATAAAAACAAAATTTAAAAAAATATATTTTTTTTTATTTTATATCAAATTAAACATAAGGGTTCCCATTAAAGAAAATTAAATATTTAATTTTTTATCCTTGAAGAGACTTTTTAGATGTTTCAAATTTTAAATGCCTATTAAAACATTTGTTAACTGAAGAACGGATTATAGACGAAAGTGGAGCAGGAATTTACACTTTCTATGATGTTATGTAGTATCAAATATATTACCGAATGGTGAAAGGAAGACATAAAATACAGGTATAACAATTCATGTATTTGGCAGATGATTCTTAAGGTACACAGCAGGTCACGACCGGCCTACTTTTGATTCCCACGTGCTTAATCGTATTCAAGAAAGTAGATAGGTAAGTCTACAATCTACGATTTTTCGTCGAATCATGCGCAAGTTTTTTTATGCATAAGTTCCTTTACGATCTTATAACTAGTGAGAAACCGTAGGTTTATTCACTAAAGAAGTTGGGGTTTCAGGATATGTTCTCTTGCATTTATTAACATACCCTTTACTAATTTGATAAAATTACTTGATAACGTGTAGCTTGTGATGTTTTCTAGGTAGTCCGTGAAGAGTGTCATCATAATAGAGGATTCTAATATACGTGTGTTTCATAAATCTTAAATATTTTTAAAATTGTGTATTTTAATGCATTTTTTATAATATAATTTTAATTAATTAAAAACTTTTAATAATGAGAGCGAGATGGTTTTCATTACCTTTTATTGTTTCTTTTTTAATACTTATGTGCTTTATTTTGTTGGTAATCAACTTTTTTGAACTCAGTTGGATGCAAATGGAACATAACAAATTTCATCATGCTCAACAGACTTACCCTGCTGCTGCTTCTATACCTCGACCACTTAATGACATGATGAAAAAACCAATATACAGTGTATTTGCTAGACATGTAAGCTTTTACAACTGTACATTAATTATTTAATCTTATACAAAATATTTAATTATTTTAGTCAGAAGCTGGACACTTAAGGCATGTTTATGATGTATTTGATGTTTATGGTTATACAAAAAAACCATTAGAATCAGATCCCGATTGGAATGTATTATGGGCTCATGAATATCCATTCAAAACACTTGCAGATAAAATTGTATTTTCTAACTTAAAGCCCTATCAAAAAGTAGGATTTTAAAACCTACTTTATATAATATATTTTTTAATTTACTTGACCTAGAAGTATTAAGTATTATTTTAGGATTTGAACATTTTTTATTGTTTATATATTATTTTACTATTGATTTTGTATGTTCCTTAAATAATCAATAACATACGTATAGTATGGCATAAATATGCTATTTACTGCTTGATATATACTTTGCAAATTTAGGCTTGCACATTAATCTAGATCCCTAGATTTAAAACATTATCAATTTTAAAGATTTTCTAAGTGATAAATTTTCAATAAATAAATTTTTCTGATTATAAAATTGTTCAATGTATATTTAATTATAATATAATGTATATATATTATTTAGGTGAATCATTTCCCAGGTATTGGGTTCATTTCAAACAAAGTCGATTTAGCAACATCAGATATTAAGTATATTCCCCCAGCTTTCCAAATGCCATCTCAAAAATCGAAATTTCTTTCTTATGTAAGTTTTTGATTGTATAAACTTTTTAATATTTTAATAAAAATATTTAAATTATAGGCCAAAAAATATCCCAATAAATTCTTTGTTCAAAAGCAAAATAATCATAGAGGTATTAAGATAAAGTCTTCAACTGAATTGGATTTTAATTCAACCGGTAGTTTTATTCAAGAATATATAGATAATCCTTTATTAATTGATGGATATAAATTTGATATTGGAGTTTATACAATTATTACATCTATTGATCCACTTAGAGTGTACATGTATAATGGAGACATTTTATTCAGGTAATCTTAAAATAACTTTTTTTTTGTTATTAAACTCAATTATAATTAAATTTAAAAAATTTGTTTATCATAAATGATAGAGATTTTTTATTTAACTTGATTGTTCATATTTAAGACTAAATTTCCTTTAAAGTTTATGTACTTTTTATTAATATTTATACTCTTGGTATATACTATTGTTCTTAAACTATATATTAGTATATCAGTATTTTAGTATTTTATATATTATATAATCACAAAATAAGAATATATAGTTTTGTGTAAAGGCTACGATTTACTAGAAAATGAGATTTCTGTTCTATTTTCAAGTGATATTCTGATTAATATATTATTTTAAATTAAAATTATTAAATATTATTATTTTTTTTTAATTGAAATAAAGGCCGCATTACATGCATATCAAGTTTATATCACAATAAAATAACTATTTAAATAGATTAGGTTAATAGTAAGAGTGAATAAAAGTTGGTCACTGGCACATAAGTTATACTGATATTATATTAAGTTAAAAAGTTTGGTAGTGACATACAGGAGTATGGAAATTATAGAAGCATAAAGCTTATGAGTTATAGTATGAAAATTTGGGAAAAGGTAATAGATAAGAGAATAAGAAATGATACATTGGTATCTAAAAACCAGTTTGGATTTATGCCTGGTAAGTCAACAATGAAGCCATTAAAATGTGTGAGGCAACTAATAGAAAAGTTTAGGGAAAAGAAGAAGAAACTGTGTATATTTATAAATTTGGAGAAAGAGTATGATAGAGTACCAAGAGAGGTTTTAAAGTGAGCATTAATGAGAAAATGATACCCAAAAAGGTACATTAATATAATAGAGGATATGTAAAGTGTGGGAGGAGTAACAGAAGGTTTTCGGGTAAGAGTAGGAGTGCATCAGGGTTCTGCTTTAAGCCCTTACTTATTTTCTATAGTGATGGATGAAATTACTAGAGAAATACAAGGAGAAGTGCCGTGGTGCTTGTTGTTTGCTGACGATGTAGTGTTAATAGGAGAAAATTAATCAAAGGCTTGAGGTGTGGAGATCAGCTCTTGAAGAAAAGGATTTAAAAATAAGTAGTAGTAAGACAGAGTATATAGAGTACGAGTTTGACAAAGAAAAACACAAGGTAGGTGAAATGAGAAAATCGGTGACAATAGCCAAGGACATGATAGGAGAGGTGGAACCTCTCTTTTAAGTATTTAGGGTCAGTTGTGCAAAAGAGTATTGACGAAGATGTAAGACACAGAATTAAGTGCGGGTGGTTGAAGTGCATAGAAGCGTCTGGCGTCTTATGCGATAAAAGAATTCCAATCAGGCTGAAAGGTAAATTAGAGTAGAAAATGAATGTAGCTGAGATAAGAATGCTTAGATGGATGAGTGGAGTGACTAGAGAAGATAAGATAAGGAACGAGCATATAAGAAAAGTAATAGGTGTAGCGTCAATTGTGGATAAGATGAGAGAAAATAGACTTAGATGGTTTGGTCATGTTATGAGGAGAGAAGAATTGGAAGCTGTAAGAATAGTTATAGAAATGAATGTTGAAGGAAAAGAGGTCGAGGAAGACCAAAAAAGAGATGGAGGGATGCTATTAAATGCAATATAAAGTAGGGGTCGCGATTGTGAACGGGTATTAGAATACACGGATACATGGAGCCCGGGTACACTGGCAAAACATATATTAAAACCCGTGTATTTAATACCCGTGCATACATTGTATATATATATATATTATATTAAATATATGACTATTTAAGGTCATGGGTATTTAAATGCCCGGGTATACACGCATATTTTTACTACACGAACTTTAACCCCGTCATAGATAAAAACACGGGTACCCGTGTAGTTCATTACACGTGTAATCACGACCTCTAATATAAAGACAGCTGATGTGAGCGTAGATAATGTGGGAGATAGTGTCAAGTGGAAGTTTAGTATAAGGGTGATCAACCCCAAGTAGTTGCGATTAAGGCGAGGAAGAAGAAGACTAATAAGAGTACTCTAATATTATTACAAATGTATCTTGTTGTGTAAAATAATATTTTTTATTAATTATTTATTTATAATGCATGTTTTCTTTTCTTATAGGTGAACATTAATATTTTACATGGTATCTTGACTTTACATTTCATTAAAGATGCTTCTTCGTCTGTACTAATGTTATTGACTACATACAAATTATAACACTATTTTAAAATCTTTTTTCAAAGATAGCTTTTACTTTTAATAAACTAACATTATTTCTGTATCTTCACTTGCAATTATTTTTTTATCGGTGAACTAATAGCACAGGATAACAACCATTTTTTGTTTACAATTTTTATATGATTTCTAAATGAAGTTTTGATGCAGATTCAGAATCTGATTTCAATTTTTTTTTATCAAATTTAGTTTTTAAGATAATTAGTAATTAGTTATTGAGCGATAATTACTCTATAAAATCATCATACAAAATATTATATATATATTTTAACTTCCCTAAAATTATTTAATGGTGTTTAATAATAGTTGTGCAAAATTTGTTGTAATAGATAAAAATTTATTTTTAAATTTGTAAAAAATAATTTTTTGTTTAATACTTTCTAAAATAAATTTTAACTGTTATGAAGCATATTGTCTGGTGCATCTTTTTTTCCATGGAATTGTCTGAATAACCCAACTTGATTATTCTTCAAAAGGTTTAAGGTTTGTTGTGGATTTTATCAAGTTTTATATTAATTTTTAATATTCATATAATATTCAATAGTATTTTATGATTAATCTTTATAAATTATTTGTAATAAATTGTATTTAATGTATATTTAAGATTTTGCCCTGAAAAATATCATCCATTTGATCCTAATAATGTTGACAAATATGTAATTGGAGATGATTATTTACCAACATGGAATGTGCCATCTTTAAAAAAATATTATGTTGACCAAGGGGCCTCAATGAAAGTATCTGTTGAATCACATTTGAAGACTTTGAGTAAATCATTAGTTACACTTTTAATAGAATCAAAAATAAATATTGATTTTTATATTAATTAATAGATAAAGATGCTACTAAAATATGGAATCAATTAGAAGATGCTATAAGAGTTATTTGCTTGGAAAAAGAGCCTTTAATAAAAAATTTAATGAAAAATTACAAATCAAAAACAAATTTTTTTGAAATGGCTCGTTTCGACTTTGTTGTTGATGATAACTTGAATGTTTTCATTATGGAGGTATTTAAAAGTAATTTATTTAGAATAATGTTAAGACAAATATGTTAGCCATTAATTGAATGTATCAACAATTACGTTTTAAAATTTTCATATTTTTTTATCATTCTCCTTTTTTATTTATTAATATTTTATTCTTTTGTGAATTTTATATATTTGATAAAATTAATACTCTATAAAATCAAGTTGTTATAAATAATAGAACTGTTTGCTGCACCACATCTTCTAAATAGTATTGTGTAAATAGGTCTATATTTATATTGTTGGTAAGACCCTGAATTTCTATATGTATGTGTGCAAATGCTAATCTAGTTGTTAGACGCTATTAATTGAACTAAGATACATGCAAAAAATTAATGGTCATATGATAATGAAATTATTAATATTTGCTTAGTGTGAAACTTCCCATAAAATTGAACCAAAAATATCCAAAATTGATTTGTCTTCTTTACATAAATTCTGTCTTATTATTATTATTATTATTATATTACAATTTATATTAACAATAATTTTTCTAATAATAAAATAATCATTTTAGGTAAATATGTCACCTAATTTATCATCAGCTCATTATCCTCAAAATCGTTTGCTTTACGAGCAGGTATTATTTAATCTATTTGCTCTTGTAGGTTTGACACATTTTGAACGGTTTGTAATTTTAATTACTTGATTGACATAAATTTATCAACATTTTAACTCAATAATATTATTTTAGAAAAAAAGATAGCAATAAGATGATTGTATCTATGAAAAATATTGTAGCATATCCTAAGCATTGTAGTGAGATAGATTGTAATACATGCCAATCAGAAGATTGTAAATTGTGTCTTCCGTGTATAGACAGTGAAATTGAAAGGCAACTTACCAATGCTTATCGTGAACATATTGATCGTCATGATTGTAAAAGAATTTTTCCGCCAACATTTGTAAGGGTTTCTTATACTATTAAATATATTAATTTTTATATTCTCTCCAATTTATATCCCACAAAATTATTAATTATTTTTTTATATTTCAGGAAAGACGTTTATTGGTGAATAGTAGTAATGATCTTAGTAGGTATAACCAAAAAAATCAATTGATGTATAAATGGTTTAAAGGAAAATGCATTGAAGATGTTGAATGGTGCTAAATTATAGAATGATATCTTATTTAAATGAAGTGAATCAATGGAGTATGTTATGTTTTCAGCTCATAGTTGAGCTAGAAATTACTTTTTAAATTGAGAGATTTTACAAATGAAATTAATTTGTTATTTAAAATTTATTTAACTATTATTAAGTAAATTTAATGCATTCATTTGTCATTTAAATAACATACCTCTTTATTGAAACGTGTTGCCCTTAAATTTGTTTGTTTAGTGTTTGTAATATAATCTAATCAAAATATAACGCCATGAATATTTACTTTTGTTTATTTAATGAATTTTTGTAATTTGATTTTTATTTCTTTTATGAATAAAAATAAACTAAGTATAAAAGTTTTTAATATTCAAGAATTTTTTTAAATTTATATCATAATTGTTTTAATGATTTATAATATTTATACTGTGATAAACTAAAAAAATTTTATTTTTATAGTGAAAATTACTTTTTAAAATATTTATACAAAAAATAAAAATATATATATATATTTAAAGTGCATCATTTTTTGTTTATATTATTTATTTTTACATTAGTATTCTATGAAACATGTATAGTATATTACTTTTTTATCTAGTTAATGCTCATAATATTTTATCTTAGTGTAATTAATTTTAAGTAAAAATTAACTGTTATAATATACAAAGCTTCCTGGAATTTAATAAAATTTAATTTATGTAGTAATTAACAAACTTGCTTTCTGCAGCATGAACTTAGTTCAATATTGTTTGTTTTATATATCAGTAATTCTCTAATAAGTAAATTATGCATAAACATAAAAAGTAACAACATCAAATAAAACCCAGCACAGGGGGGTCGCGGCACAGTGGTGACGTGGCATAGTTGTATCAAGTATAATGATATCTGACAGTGATTAAAATCACTATCAAAAATAAACGCTTCGATGCAAATCTTTAGATAGTGTTTAATTTTAAAAAAATTGGTGTTTTATTCCAAAAGCTACTTGATCTGCTGGTTCCTTATTAATATCTCGATTAAGATAAAGTATGTCGAATGAAAAAGGGTTTATTAAAAAATATTATTTCTCATAAAAAAATTGTGTGGATCCATAAACTTTTCAATAAGTTATAGCATTATAAAGTTAAATATAATATAAATAATAAAATCGAGAATTTTCACACGAAAATAGCATTCGGTAGCCATTTTCGCCGTGAAGACAAGTCCAGAGGTCAAATTTTTTTTTTTCAAATTAAAGTATATTACATTAGCTTTAATTTAAGATATATATAAAAGTGTCAGACCTTCCGGAACATTTTCAAAAGTTAAGTTGAAAAAGTTAATTTTTTGTGAAAAAGTTGTCATTTTAAATCCCCCCTTGTGGGCAGGTTAAGGGTTAAATTTATGAAAAAAATATACCAAATGAAAGGTAATGATATTATGCATCTATATAAAAAAGAATTATATTCATATGTTTATTTTTGAAAAAGTTACGGCAGTTTTTAGTAAAAAAAATTGAAAAAATTTCGAAAATTAGCGATTTTTAAATTTGTAATTTTTTTGGAGGTTTCCCCCATTTACGGGGAACGAGGGAAATTTTTTCAATTTTGAAGGGTAATGTCTTCGACTAGATACGATTTGTGATCTTTTGACGTATCGTTGAAAGAAATCCGTTCGGTGAGAGCTGAGAAAAAGTGGTAACAGACAAAAAAAAAACACATCATAGTAAAACCAATACCTTCTCAGCTTTGCATCAAAGCTAAAATTGTTCCTTACATTCATCTTAATGGTTTCCCTATGTCTAGAAATGTTGTAAAAATCAGTACATGATTAAATAATCACAAAAATCATTGCAATCTAAAGGATTTTATAATTTTTACTAGAATTTTTAAAATTTGAACCTGACATTTTTTAGTATACGTTTTTTGTCTAAATTAGACAAAAATGCAGACAGCGTGTTTTTCCTCCTAATTTCAAAAATTCGGTAAACAAAAAATAATAGCGTTGGGAAGCTTATAAAATTATGGCGTGGTTTAGAAAAGAGATTATAGTTGTTATTTCTCCAACGACAAAAAATACTACATATTTAAGATATAATTTGGAAGAAATAATACATTTTTTTATGAATAACCTATTTGTATAAAAACCGGGCTCACTACTAAAGTTCTCCTGAATTTAGATTAATATTTATTGTATGCTAAGATAACTTTAACAGCTTTTACTAGTTAACAATCTTGATAAATGAAATAATTTTTTGATATAAATCATAATAAGTCAACTTAAGATTTGATAATAATATAGTTGCTGATGAAATTTCGAGAATTCACGATATTATCGCCACGACAATAAAATCGTTGGACACCATTCCGAGAAGTCTGGACATATAATCGCAAAAGTGCAGTAAAAAAGAGCACAAAATCATTTATTCTATCTTAAAAGCATGTGCCAAAAAAGTACGGGTCGTTTTGATATCTGTTGTAAAATACCAATTTCAATCTGAATTATTAATTATATAAATTTGTTACTCAAAACCTCATACATTACTGGAACGAAATTTTGCGTATTTCTAATAGTAAAGTACGGAAGTTTAGTTTCTACTTTTATCTAATGGGGTGTTATAACTATAGATTTACCCGGGAGTAACAATAGAGATTATGCTTATTTGAAAATATTTAAAAAATTACGAATTACTCATCATATAAATAGATATATCCATAAAAAACGTACTTGAAAACTCGTGTTTTTACATTTATAGGTGTGCACACAAAATAGTTACCAAACAATAACCATGTGTATGAACTTGAAAAAAAAAATCTCAGTAAACAAAATTTCAGGTTTTAAAAACGCTTACGACAACGAGCGTCTTTGACAAAAATTTTAAACTCAGAGTGCTACATTTTTTTATCTTTTTTTGCGAGTAATTTCACCAGAATAATGTCAAAAAATTTTTTTTTTGAAAATCGGATATCGTTAGGTAATTTTTCTAGCATTGGCTAAGTTTTTAATTATTTTATTATATAATAAGATGATAGGCAGTAAATTTTAAACACTCATAGCGGGTAGAATTTTGGTTTAATTTCGGATGTTTTAACCTTCCCCGTAGTATGTAGATTACAGTGGTATATAAGCGAAACAGAAAAAAAATCGTTTTTATAAAGTGAAGTAGTGCATGAAATTCGGTCAGCGCGGCCTGGAGTACCGAACGTCAAGAAAAAAGGCTCGGTTAAAAACCAACAGATTTCAACGAAATTTTCAGGATATTGAAATGATATTCAACTAAATAATATAGAAAAACATTTCTTTAAAGTAATTTTTCAAAAACCAACATTTAATCGATAAAAATAATCTAAGAAATAAATTCCTTTTAAACTTTTTGTAAAGTACAAAAAACTAAATATTCTATATTAATTATTATGTCCTTTATTTAGTGTGAAATTTTTCATTTAAAAATTAATTTGTTTTTAATATTTTTGAAAAATATTGAATTTTAAACCTGTATGCAAGTACAATATATATTTATTCATATTTTTTTAGGACTGAAATAAAGACAAATGCTTTCTAATAAACATTGCATATGATACCATCTTCATTAATGTGCTGTAGAATATGACATTTTATGCGAGACTTTAGGTTAAACAATTTACCACACATTGCGCATTTAAAAGAATTATCTCCCGAGTGTACCTTACTATGTGTCTTAAGACTTGAGTGTCTAATAAATGATTTTTTACATACATCACATTTGTATGGCTTTTCGTTAGTGTGCACCAATGTGTGTCTTTTCATATCTGAATGACGAGCAAATGTTTTCTCACACACTATGCATTTATAAGGTTTTTCTCCGGTGTGTACCAAACTGTGTCTTTTAAAGGTGGACATATCTCTAAAAGACTTCTGACATACTCCGCACTTGTGAGGCTTTTCACCAGAGTGTATTCTACTGTGATGTATAAGAGTGCATTTTCTGTTAAATGCTTTTTTACATATGTCACATTTGTAAGGCCTTTCACCAGTATGCAATCTCTTATGTCTTCTTATATCTGAATTATAGACAAATATTTGCTCGCATATATCGCATGTGTATGTTTTTTTACAAGTCTCTATTATCTGGTGTTTTTTCAAAATGCTTTTAGTGTATACATCATTGCAAGCACTCGAAGTGTTCTTTTGGTTTCTAAAATAGACAAAATTAAAACTATTTAATTACTCTAAATAATAATAATCTCGAAATTGATATGTGCGTACTAAGGTGGTCCTTAATTTTGATATATTATTTTTAAAATTGTATTGAATATTTTACTAGTGATAACAATTTATTGTTAACAAAAAAATAATAAAACAGCTTATTTTTTTTTACTTTGTTATTTTAAAAGTTTCAACGCCTCATTTACAATCTTTTCAAATGTTTAAACCGACTTTAATATAAATTACTAAAGTTATTGAGTTGAATTTTATAGCATTGAACTAGTATTAATTGAAACAAATCATAAAAAATAAAATACAATTTTAAAAATAGCTTTTTCTAAAATTATAAAAAAATTAATTTTGCTTTACTAAATTTGTCAATTTGACATATCTCTTTATTAGCTTCGATGCGAACCTGAGAAGGTATTAATTTTATCATGATGTGTTTATTTTATTTTTGTGTCTGTCTCTACGTTTTCTCAGCTCTCACTGGACCGATTTTTCTCAACGATACGTCAAAAGATCATAAATCATATCTAGTTGAAGACATTACCCTTAAAAATTGAAAAATTTGCCCTTGTACCCCGTAAATAGTGAAAATCTCCCAAAAAATTATGATTTTTAAAATTAATAAGTTTAGACATTTTTTAAACTTTTTTTCCTATAAATTGCCATAACTTATTGAGAAATGAATGAATCAAAATTATTCTTTTTTATATTATAACCTTAGATACTTTTCTTTCATTTGATATAATTTTTTTGAAAATCTAACCCTTTATCTGCTCACAAGAGGGGATTTAAAATAGCAATTTCTGCACAAAAATTTTAATTTTTCAAAATGTTCCGAAAATACTCCAAGCTTCAAATACATACTAAAATAAAGCTAATGTTCTGTACTATATGTGCAAAAAAAAATTTTATTCCGACGACTTATCTTCTATGTGAAAATGGTTCCTGTAGATAAAAAAACATGCAATTTTGGTGTTAAAATTTACGATTTTATATTTTTTTTTTCAATTTTAAATTACTATTAATATTTGAAAAATGTATGGATCAATACAATTATTTTTTCATAAATATTTTACGTTTCAATTCTTTTATTTGATATAAATTTTTGAAAATCTTACTTTTGACCTGACCACAGGAGGATTCAAAATAACAATTTTTACATACAAGTTAAACTTTTTCAAGTAGAAAAAGTATGATCCATGAAAACCTTTAATATAGGTTTTTTTTATCGTTTTATAGAATATTCTTCGAAAATTCGAGGTCAAAACCTTAAAATGCTGTGCGTCTCGATTTAATTTTTAAAAATTATGTTAAATTTTCAGAATATTATTTTTTTATACTAAAGAAAAATATGGAGGGGTGTCCTGAAAGACATGTCTAAATTCGTAAATTAAGGACCACCCTAGTACGCACGTATCAATTGGAACATAATTTTTTTTAGGCCTTTGAACTTAAATGATATAATTTGTGTAATAGTTTTACATGTTTTAATTTAGATTTTTTGCAATACTAGTTAAGGAATATTTTAAACAAGGTATAACAAATATTTTGTAGTATCGAAATTGTAAGTTATTAAGGTTCAAAATATTAAATATTAGCATACCTGTTGGATTTTTGTTTAATTTGCTTACCACTTTCTGAAAATTTACTTTCATTAAAAACCTCAATTATTGGTTTCTGATTAAATTTATTATCATCTCTTTGTATTGTTGTTTCAAATAATAATCCATCAACTTCGTCATATTCTACTTTAATATTTGCTTCATTTAGTGTTATACTATTACTGAAAATAAAATGAAATTACGACTAAAAATACATCGGTATCTCAGTCTATCATTATATTTTAGTGATATTTATTACATGATAACATGAATACATAATTTTTAACAACCTGTTTAAATTTTTTTTGATTTGAGCGTCATCAATTAAACAGCATTTGTTTTCCATATTATTTTGATAGTTATTGTTGTCAACTAACTTGCTATCATTAAAAATCTCAAATTTTGGTTTAATGACAAATAGTTTCTGTTTTCTTTCTATTGTTGTTTCAAACAAAATTCCATCAATTTCATCATGTTCAACTTTAATACATATATCATTGTGTGCCTCATTATCACTATAAATAAATTAATAAAAGTTTAAAAATCATAAATTATTTCCGAAAGCCTCATAACTTTTGTTGTTATTTTTGAATAGTGTTAGTTGAATGTAGTATTTTATTAGAATTTTTAATTATACTTTATTTAATCTATCTTATTTCATATGAGAAGTTGAACAAAATTATTTTATATTCAACTCACATTTAATAAATAAATTTTATATAGTGTATAAAAGGCTCGTGGCTTGGACGACGGGACGATCGCACCCCCTACAAAAATTAATTAAACGAAGAAAATTAATAGTATAATCTTAATTCTACATTTTTTAAAAATGCAAATTTTTAAATAGTAAAATAGTTATAATAATTTTTTAAAAAGAAAACACTATCTTTTCGTGATTACTATAATTTGGAGGTGTGTAACTTTTTCCATGAAAATGACATACTTTTGAATGAGAGCATAAGCAATAATTGCCTTATCAAATTTCTTATCGTGGTATTAATGCCAAAGTTGTAAATTATAGTAATCACGAAAAGATAGTGTTTTCTTCTGTCCTTTTCTCAATATGTATTTCAATGTTTAATACCGTAAAATAATACATGAAAATTCAAATTTTCACTAACTTTAAAATGCTACAGAATATTTACTACTGAATATTAATAAGATATTTTTTTATTAAAATTTTTCTTAAATTCTACTCTACAAAATAGCTATCTTAAATTTTTTTTTTTACATTTTATTTAAAATATTAAAATAATTAATATTTTTAATAAAATGTAAAAAAATTAATTATTGAGATGTAGCTATAGACCTAACGTATAACTATTATTTAAATAAAAAATCAACTAAAAATATTAACTGGATCAAAAGTTATTTAAGTTGTCAGTGAGTGGTGGGCCACTCTGTATAGTCGCACTTCTACCACCAATTTCTACGAATCGTCACTGAGTGTATTGAATATCTCACCAATTAAGTGTCATATTCATGAAAGGATGGAACTTTTTGAAAAGAAGGGTTCCCCGACTTTATAATTAGGAAGAAATAAAATATTATTGATACTCAATGACCTACTTTTAATCGTCTAAGTTTTATTACAGCCCGTGTCTATATTTAAATTGTTATATGTCAACGTTTAGTAAATTAAGTCCTGCCCCAATCTCAATTCTTTTAATGTTAGGCTCAAATATTTCACCTAGAAAACTTTATAAGCATGAGTAACATAATATTTTATGTCAATCTTAATTTTTACGTAAAAATGTATCAGATGAAAAATTAAACATACAATTTTAATTTTAAATGGTAACCCAATTAAAATATTTTTGTTGTGAAAAACAGATATTCTCCTAACGAAAAAAGAATATTTTTTTTTTAATCCTTAAGTATGTATTAACCTAAATTTATTTACTATCAACATAAATATTCGTATGGATAAATAATAAAAATAATTTTACAATATTATTATTGTTAACGAAACTTACTAGATATTTGTATCAATCATGTTATGAGTAACTAAAAAGTTATTGTTATTATTTAAATAAAAATTAACTAATTTAAAACAAGTCAAAAATTAAAATAAACGTATTTAGGTGTACAGTACAAAACAATGAAGACCGTAAATATAACATATAGTAGTTTATTTAGTCTTAGAGTTCACAGTGACCTGCATTCCAAATTTACCTTCTACCACTTTCATAATTTATTTACTTTTAAAAGATAAATAAAATGACATTAACGAGTCATAATGATTATTTTATCTTACAAATAATCTTAATAAATGTTATTAATATGATAAAACTATACATTAAAACCAAAGTATATGTATGGTTTATCCATCAGTACAAAAATAGGACTATTTTGACTTTAAAAGGTTGTAATAAAAGATTAATGAAAATGAACATATGCATGCTGGTCACTACATTTATTTTAAAATTCTGTTACGATCAAATATGATAACAGTAACTAAATAACCGCTTTGATTATTGACAGCAAACAATGTTTCCGTAGACTGATTTGTTCAAATTATACTATGAAACTATTTTAAAAATATATGTTGGAGAATTGGCTAAAAAATTATTGACTAATAAACCAAATAAAATCTTGCTAAAAACCATTTTTCTCATTAATAAATCGCCAATGGTATCACAGAATAGGAGTTCATGATTAAGATGTTTTCCATTATGATTTTTTCAATTTCATACCTAATGATGTTGTAAACAAGTATGATAATAACTTTATTAGGATGATATTTTTTAATTGATTGATAAAATTTTTTTTTATCAATACACTTTTTTAGATCATTTGTTAATTACGCAATTTATCAATCGAAATTTGTTAAAATTGTTAATGTTAATTAAATATAACACTGATGCACATTGTTATTCAATTAGCATCAATTACTAATAAATATTATCTATTAGCTTCGATGCGAAGCTGAGAAGGTATTGGTTTTACTATGATGTGTTTTTTTTTTTTTTTTTTTTTTTTTTTTTT